TCCCTTCCCCTCCCCACAACAGACACCCTGTGAGGTGGGTGGGGCTGAGAGAACTCTGACACAAACTGCTCTTTTTCAAGGACAGCTGTGCCAGAGCTTGTGACTGACCCAAGGTCACATCAGCAGGTGCAAGTGGAGGAGTGGGGAATCAAACCCGGTTCTCCCAGATTAGAGTCCGCACACTTAACCACTACACCAAGCCTGGCCTCCCCATCTACCTCCTCTAGGGAAGGATACATAATGTCTAACGCCATCTGATTAGTTTCATTACTGCCCGATTTAGTGTTTTAAATTTTAATCCGTATATATAAACTTATTGTATTTATAAGAACTGTACCTATAAACTGCTGTTAAGCACCCTGAGTCCCATTTGGGGGAGGGCAGTATATAAATCAAATACATTATCATCATCAAAGTCCTGGAATCAACGAGGCCCATCAGTGAGTCCCTGGGTCTGAGTGGAGGATAGCAACCCTCTGAAGCTAGACAAGAGACTGCCTGGGAATCCTGTGTAACCTTGCCTTGAGGTTCATGGTAAAAAGGAGGCTGGGTATAAATTGATATGTAAATATGTTGACTATCCCCCGCCTCAAAGCAGGTGCTGAACGGCAGTCCACTGTGACCAGGACTGGGAAAGCAACAGGCACTCTTACTTACATTGCTTTGGTATCCTAAGGGCCTCGTTGTCGGCAGACATCACTTGGTGGAGAACTCCTCGGAACTGGTAGAGCACCTTCAGACTCTTCTCCTCCCCGACGCAAGGGTCATAGAACCCGGGCAGACCAGCCTGCAAAAGGGATATTGCCACAGACTGAACCCAAGAGGTTGGCAATGGACATCCTATCGCAGGAGTTTTCTGTAGCTGGGGGTGGGCGGTGTTGATACTAAGTGCACAGAATCCACAGTGAGTGGGGGAAAGGAGGTTAAAAAAGCACTCATGGAAGCCCTATGTTGTTTCTCAAGCATGAATCTTTTTACTATGTGTAAGGAACTGGCACCTTGAGACCTAAAAAAGTAACCCCCGGGTAGCCACCCCTCCCTGGGTACTACATCTGGAAGGGGGAGGAATGTGTGGGCCGATCTAGAGTGCCCCCTCCACCCCTGCCACATGT